CAAAGAAGGTAATTACCCATTAATAAATCACTGGATAGACTTTGATACATGCTTGTCATCAACTTGTTTAGTTTATATTTTAATGATGCAAATTTATATGCATTACAAATTTGAATAAGTTTTACTATATGGTAATTATTGGATGGGATTCTTTTCAATTACAGAAACAGGAGATGCCTAATTGCCTTAAAACAACACAAGGGTACTGGCTGGCTCTCTAGCTTGCTTGCCTTAACACATTTCATATGTTGACAGGATATAATGGATGCATCTGGTGTGGCACTTGTTTTGATTGGACCTGGTAGCATTGATCAGGTTTGCTCTTAGAAATCATATACAATTAACCAAAATAGATAAGCATGTCGGCTTAATTAATCTTTAATTAGGTGGGTTGTGATTTCATGTTCTAACATTTCTGTGTTAATCTATGACTTCCATCTGCCATCTGTGGAAGGGACGGAGTCTCGTAATTTCGGCTATTTCCCTGTAAATTCAGGGATGTGACATGGCAAAAATATGGAAGAGCACTTCTTATCATTAACACTTTGTAGTTTGTACTAGATTGTGAATTGAACTTTGCCAAGGCTCACTAGCCAAGACTTCATTATCTATTTCTTGTTCTGATTTACTGTTTGGTGTAAATGCTATAAACCTTTGTTATAACCATATGCAGTAACTTGTTGTAGGGAAAAGCATTCGCTGAGCAAACAAAGTTCAAAGGAGGTAAGTTTCAGAAGAGCAGCTTTTACTAGTTCTGTTATAATTTTTCTCCCTCTAAAGGCATCCCAGTCACAGAACTTCCCTTTTTTTTTCATTCCAGAAGTTTATGCAGATCCAAGTCACTCATCGTATGAGGCATTAAGATTTGTTTCTGGGGTCTTAACCACATTTACTCCCAAAGTATGTAAGCAACATTGTATGTTTTTTATTAATGTGACAACGCATAGACGTACTAGCTGCTTATAGTTAGAAGGGGTGCTTCTGAAGTTTCTAAGAATTTCTCACAAAAAGTAGGACTTCTTATCTAAGTTGCTTCTGCCACATTCTAGGCAGGTCTTAAGATAATAGAGCTGTACATGGAGGGTTACCGACAAGACTGGAAGCTTTCTTTTGAACAGGACACCGTAGCTAGAGGCGGCTGGTATTTTCTTATATCCATCTTACTACAAGTATCAGATTTGTATCATCATGAGAAGATTTACAAGTTGTCACCTTCTGTTACAGTTTTTGTTTTAGCAAGTAATTAGCACAAACTTTACATGTGTGACATTGTTTGTTTGGCAGGCAGCAAGGTGGAATTCTAGTTGCGGGTCCTGGTAAAAGTAACATCCTGTACATCCACAAGGCAAGTTTTCTATCCTTCTTTTTGCTTGGGACTTAATAGACTTGTTGGTTAATCATGCGGTTGTAACCAGTTCAGATTGAAACTTCAGACCGCCAGATAATCCCAAGACTATCCATTTTAATTAGGACAATATAAAATCTGGAAGTACATACATAGTTCTTAAAGCATATAATGACTCAATATGTACAAGTAGAGCCTTCGAAGGATTTTCTCTTTCGAGTTAAGACAGTAACTTATTCAACACTGTTGTTTAAATCACCAGAAAATCTGGCAATATTTGCTGATAAGACAAGACAATTCATTTTGATTAAGAAAACAGAGTAGAGGGAAGTACACATATATATAGTTTTCAAAGCATACCAATGAGTCGAAATATACAAGTAGATATTAAGATCAGCTCTTTTGCTAGTGATTTGTGGCTACTGTGTAATTTCATGTCTTTGCTTTTGTAATGGAGTAGGATAAAGAAGCCGGGGATGATCCAGATATCAAAGATATTCTAAAAGCATGTTGTGGGGATGTAAATTCTGTATAGTCTTTACCTTTCTCATGTGGATTGTGAATTCTGCGTAGTCTGTGGTCACTTGAAAGGAGGCTATAAGAGCCTAGGAAAATATACACATATCCCATTCACATTGTATCGCGGTAGATATGAATGTGCTTCTTTTCTTGATTCAACTGGCTCATGAAGTTTCATGGATGTGAAGAACTATTGTAAGATCTGAGATTTGTAATTAAATTAAAGCAAAACGCAAGCTTAGACTGTCAGTATTGTGTTATTTTTCGATTCGTGTCCTCATTCATATATATGGTTTTTGTGCAACAAATTAAACTTTTCTTTTATGTATATATTTTGATTTTAGGTATCGATTGTGAAATTACCTGTAGGATGACTAAGAATCCCTAGAGGAGGAGGGGAGGGGGGTGAATAGGCCAGTTTAAAATTATAATCAAATAAATAAAAATAAACTTTGGTAGCAGGATTGATATGGCTTATCAATCCTGAAACGTGCATAACATAAAATAAAGGAACACAGAGAATTATTTTACATGGTAAAACCCCACCTTTGGGGAAAATCCACGGGACTACTCAGTCCAAAACAAATTCACTATAGAATGATGATTACAATAAGCACTCGCACACTTATCCTAGACACATTCTATATAATGCTATAGGGGTTGTGGTGGGTGAGGGGCCCTATCCAACAAGTGAGAGAAAATATTGGATTTGAACTTTTTAATGATTGAATGGTTAGATTGAACCCCTTCACCAAAAAAATCCCCTCATTGTCCACAAAGTGAGGAGAATCTAAATAGTTAGACCCAAGCTTGGAAGCTCAATGTTGATTTTGATTATTTCA